TCAAGAATGCTCTCGACGCCTTGCAATCGTGTCTCGACGTTTCAGAGGGTAAGTGAAGCGTGCAGAGCGCTCTTGCGCATCACTTGATCCAGTGTGACAACTTCGTGCAACAGCTGCTGACCATGGACCCCTTTGGCTGCTGTTCAGGTGTTCTCAATGAGCATCTCAAGTCACTCCTCACACTAAATTTGGCGCCGGCAGGCAAAAAGGCAAAAGGTGTCACCCTCGGAGTGGCAGAGCGTGGGCTGGCAGGCGCGATAGTCTCCGAGCTTGGCATCCAGTGCGATACGGGAGACCGATCGCAGGAGCTCGTTAGAGGCATTCGCTTGCACGCCGAGAAGCTTTTGTCGGGATTGTCAGAGGGAGACATGGACAGAGCTCAGTTAGGCTTGGGTCACAGTTATAGCAGGAGCAAGGTCAAATTTAACGTCAACAGAAGCGATAACATGATCATACAAGCCATTGCACTGTTGGACACCCTGGACAAAGACGTCAACACGTTCGCAATGCGTGTTAGAGAATGGTATGGCTGGCACTTTCCTGAACTGGTCAGACTGGTTTCGGACAACATGATCTATGCCAAGCTGGCAAGCTTCATCAGGTCGAAGGAGCGTCTCTCCGAGGATCACCTCGAGGAACTGGCAGAAATTCTCGATGGCGACGACACGGCGGCAAGGAATGTGTTGGATGCGAGCAGGGCGAGCATGGGAACCGAGATCAGCGAAGTTGACATGGACAACATTGACTCTTTCGCCGAGCGCGTTGTTGAGCTGGCTGCGTATCGCAAACGGATGCACGCATACTTGGTGGAGAAGATGCACCTCGTGGCACCCAACGTGAGTTCAGAATGTCGGAGCGCGTGTCGTGCATTGTCGGACTGATGCATCCTCGTGACCACGCAGCTTTCGGCGCTGATAGGAGAGGTCATCGGAGCGCGTTTGATCTCGCATGCTGGTTCGTTGACAAATTTGGCAAAGTACCCCGCCTCAACTGTCCAAATTCTCGGCGCCGAGAAGGCGCTCTTCAGAGCGCTCAAGACCAAGGGCAACACGCCAAAGTATGGCTTGATCTACCACGCTT